AATTTTTGTACTGACGAAGATGGGAACATAACTATTGATGCAGCTAAACATAGACTACACGAATATTGTGAGAGTAAAAAATGGTCTAAACCAATATACAGGTACTTTTTTAAGATGAGTTATTAAAAGAGTAATATTAATTTTTATGTGTGAAACTTTTGACATGTTTTATTTTTAATGGTTTACAGGATTGAAAAGGATTCGGGTCCCTCTCATGAAAAAAGATTTATTTGTTCTGTGCAGATAACTATAGAAGAAGAGGCCCGGATTCTTCAAATATCTGGCTGTGAAAAATCTAGGGTGAAGGATTCACAAAACTCTGCTGCTTCAATGATGCTTATGGCCTTATTTGAGGTGTAATCTGAGAGGAGCGGTGTTGTAATTTTTTTGGGGGTGACTCCCATCTCCTATTGCATTTTCTCAGCGTCATCTTCTTTGGTAATCTGTTATTGTTTAGCGTCATCTCCTTTTGTAATCTGTTATTGTTTAGCGTCATCTCCTATTGTAATCTGTTATTGTTTAATCATTTAAAAACGGCCTGTTTGATGCTTAGCAATTCGTTTGGAATTTCAGTTTGGTCATCTTATTTATAATTGGACGTTCGCAATGAATCATGAATCTGAATATTTAGTTCTGGCAAATACCTTTATAATTTTTGTGGATACCACTTTTGGTCTCTCTTCAGTCCATACTATTCAAAGTCATAGAAACTAAAAGATAAAGTTTTCTTGTGTAGGATCTGAATGGTAAATTTATTAAACTATAGTGACCAAATAAATAATTTTACAAAAAGAAAATTGATAAAATATTTTAGAATCACTAAGAAAAGAGTATTAAGAAATGTTGAACTGAATAGTGAAAAATGTTACTGAAATTGAAAAATAATTTGCCAAAATCTAAACTATTTTTATGATTTGAACTCTAACTTATTTTTTAACCAAAACTTTTAAATGCTTTAGTATAAATATTATCTTAAGGAAATTTGTTAAAGAATTTTATAAATATTTAATAAAAGAATATAATACTGAATTTATTAAGATTTTAAAATTTATAGTTGATCGAATATTCATTATATATATTCAAACTCTTAAATTAATATTATAAGATAAACAAAAAGTAATTATAAGATAAACAAAAAGTAATTTTAAGGAGAGAATTAGTACGTACTATGTTATTAAAAATACAAGAAAAATTAATGATTAATTTGTCCATGTCCTTGCTCTCATGTGATCTACCCATGTAATTGTCAGATTAGATGCTGACCTGTTTACATCAAGCGGAAAAGGTAGATCCTTCCGTATCAATTTCCATTCTTAGTGCATGCTCATCTGAAAATGCCATTTAATGTTCGCTCTCAGCAAGTTAGAAAATTTCAGAATGATAGTAAAGCAACAAGTCAAGGTCTCTGTTCTCACGATACCATCATATGATCAAATCCTCCTCCACCTTGAAGTGTAGGAACTCGATTGACTCCGATATTGTGAAGCAACTGCTGTAGCCACCGCCTTGCTGTTGGGTCCTCCTGCATACATGAAACAAAACCAATATAAAATACAACCCATCTAAAACTATGAATCATAATCTCTTCATAAGGATGAGAGAAATCTCTATCTAAGAAATTTGAAGAAGAAAGCAAGCTTTAGTTTTTAAATATCATCCTTTTAATCTTCAACCCATCTACTATCACTTACACGAAGGCAACTACTGAATGTAGCGTCTCTTAACATGTCTGGGAGACAGGTTCTTAAAGCCTCGCAAGCACTGTTTTGAAATGACCAAAGCTTTATTAGAAACTCGGGAAGAGAACGAAAAGGGGCAAGGCAGGAGGAGCACTTAGAAAACTGGAGTATTATTTAAAACCTCTGGTTATCTGACAGGCGAAGATAGCAACGAATAATATGCTTCAAAAGACGGCATGACGGTTGCTCAACAAGAGTTGCCACCATGTTTCCCAAAACTCGACCTACTGCATAAAAGCGTTCTGCTGTAGTGCAAATATATTTCAAACCAATTTCGTCCAGCAGAATTTTTTGGACTATAAAGGTTGCAACCTGTAGTAAAGGAGATTTCATTATACACAAATTTTCCAATATACAATTGTTTGATAGGCGTAGAAGAGGATCACGAGATAAGGGCAAAAACAAACATGTGACTTAGCATTTATTGAACACGATCAAGTAAATACAAGGATGAAAATCTCGAGTATAAAGAACGGTATTTCAACCCATGTACTGCAAATACTGGATGCATTTTGATACAATCAAATATGTCAAAAAGAGTATCAACCTTCCCGTGACAACCAAGAATAAAGGGCCTATAGTTCACTT